GACAAAGATATAAAAAAAATGGAATCGCTGAGCGAGATTAGAAAAAGCATACAGAAAATGTCGTCCGTCAATCGGAAGTGCGGCATGTTCACGGCCAAGGTGGAACGTGTGGACGGGGAGGTGTGTGAGGTGGATTACGAGGGTTTGCGCCTTACGGACGTGCGTTTGCGCGCCGTGGTAAACGGGGAGGAGAGCGGCGTTATGCTGACACCGAAGGTGGGCAGCTATGTGACGGTGGCCGACCTCGGAGGCGATATGACCCAGCTGGTGGTGATAGCCTTCAGCGAGGTGGATAGTGTGGATGTGACCACCGTAGGCGAGATACACCTGAACGGTGACAGCTTCGGAGGCCTCATCCGGATAGAGGATCTGGTGGGTGTCCTGAGGAACATTGTGGAGACATTCAACACCCATACGCACACAGTGGCCAATGGAGTGACAGCCGTACCAGAACTCCCAATGAATACCATATACAGAAGTGATTTGGAAAACAACCGAATAAAACACGGAGACAGATGAGAGGAATACTTGTAGATGAGAACGGAAATGCAGTCATCAGCAATGGACATCTTACACTGGGTGACAACCGGATGCAATGCGTCCAGCAACTGATTGGAGCGTACACTGGAGAATACAAGCACGCACCAATACTTGGAGGTAATGCTGGAAGGATGCTGTCAGGCATCCCGGATCCGTTTTGGGCTGGCGATGTGCGGAAGCAGCTTGACAAATGTGGCATTGGTGTAAAAAGCATCCGTGTGGATGGAGGTAATATAATCGTTGAAATTAACAATTAGAATATGGCAAGAACGATCATAGAGATAATGGATAGCATGAAGGCGGATTTCGTAAGGAGTTCCGCCATGCGGGACCTGTATGGTCTTGATGACTATGAATCCGATATGGATGCGGTGGAACTTGCATCCTATTACGATTCGAAATTCAGCACGGTGAGCATTGAGACGTGCATCATGTTGGTGGTTGCGACTTGTGCTGCAGCCGTTGAAAACATGATGGACTGGTTCAAGGAAGACGTGTCAAAAGTGGTAGATTCAGAAAGATATGGCCACAGCGGTTGGTACGTGAAGGTTGCCAAGGCGTTCCAATACCAGGATGGAGATGGCACAGACTACAATTTGGATACGGATAGTGGGACCTATTCCGTCATAGATGAGGAAGCGCGGATTGTGAAGCACGCCTCATGCGATAACCGTGGATACGGGGTCCGTCTGAAAGTTGCCAAGGATAGCAATGGAGCTTTGTCTCCTCTATCGAACAACGAGAAGTCGGCATTTGAGAGTTACATCAACCGTTTGAAACCTGCCGGCATACCGGTGCAGGTTATTAGCCGTAATGCTGATGTATTGAAACTTGTCATGTCGGTGTATTATGACCCCATCATCTTCAATGCCTCAAGCGCACTTGATAGAGTGAAGTCGGAGGTGAACGCATATCTGAGCAGCATTGATTTCAATGGTGAGTATGTGACCATGAAGATGGTTGACAGGTTACAGTGCGTTGGAGGGTTGGACATCATAGAGGTTGACGAGGCGTATGCCAAACATGAGGGTTACGGCTATGTTCGGATAGAAAATGACAGCAGATATGTTCCGGAATCTGGATATATGGTGCTGGCGGATGATTCAGAACTTGAAATCAATGCGATTGCCCATGTATAATGTGAATTTCAGAAGATTGGCCATAGGGATGCTTCCCCATGCATTGCGCGGTACATTCCGTCATTTTGTGGCGGAGCTTGCAGTACCGTTCTCCATGATTCATCATCGGCTGATGGAGTACAGAAGCGACATTCTTCAATCATTGACTTACGATGGAAGTGTGGTCGGATTGGAGCGTATGCTTAACGACTATTTCCGTGACATATTAGAAGTGCGCGCTGGAGGTGAGAGAATTCTTGTCGAGGATGGAGCTATTGAATATGGACCTCTTGTCTATCCGGAAGCAGAGCATCTTCCCGTAATTGTCGGAGTGGCGAAAGTGATGCCGATTTCCGAATGGGGCTGCGTTCCATTTGTCGTATCGATACCGGAAGCATTAGAGGGAGATGCTGATGTATATGACAAGGTTGACCGCCTTGTAGAGCAGTACAAGTTTACAGGAACCAAACATATAATCCAATACTATGAATAGATTGAAAGACATAAGCAGACAGGATGGATATCCAATTTGTGCGGAGACGCTTGAGGTGTTGTCTGAAAATTCCGAGATGTTGAACGAATTTTTGAAGTTTGTTCCATTGAGGAATCGTACGGCCGTTTTCTTCAAAGGCCGAAGCCATTTACTGGTTTGCCAGAATTTAACGAATCGAGTGGTTAAGGTTGGTAGTATTCAAACGGAAGATTTCGACAATGCAAAAGTCGTGTTTGTGAGTCAGTCTCACGATGTCACTGATTCGTATGGTGGAACGTACGAAGATGTGATCGATTATGAAGTTGCCCATGTCATAACCGCTAATTCGAATGGCGAAAAATGGGTATTCACTGGTTTGAGCGAAGTTTTCGAGGCGGGATTATGGACGGACTATCTTCCTTCGTTTGAGGCCGGCTTATCAGGATCACAAATCAGTTCATTAAGTTCGTTCATCACTATTCCTTCTCTGTCGGGCACAAGCAATGTTCTGATGGTTAACTCGACCAGATTGAGAATGAAGTTGGATATCGAGTTGTCGTATAACGCCAAGAACAACTGCGTTATACGGATTCCGTTTGACTACGCGTATGTTGGCCAGTGCTATCCTCTTAACGCCATGATTGAAGTTGTGTCAAACAACAAGGTTTATCCGATACACTCGTACATTTATGACGGTGAACTCGTAATTGATTCAGGAAGGTGGCTCATGACGGAAGGTCTTGGCGTGCAAAACAATGCGTATGCTGCCACTGTACAATGCAATGACATTCTACACATTAATGCTGATATAATGCTATGAAAGGTAAAGACAGGCAGAGCGTTGCGGACGTGGCATTGGAGCATGTTGGAGTTGCGGATGCAATGTTCCAGATCAGTCGCGATAATGACATCGGATTGGATGCAGAAGTACTTGGTGTGGAGATGAATGGTATTCAGATAATGGATGCCGATGTGGCGGATTACTATTACCGAAGGAATCATTCACCAGCCACCTATCACGAATGCAGTCATGACATCATTACGGATGAATCTGATGAACCGGTAACAACCACAAACAACGATAATTTGGAATATGAAATTTAGAGATTTTTTATTGAAGCACCTTTTGGCGGATACGGATCACCTGGTTGGGTATGACGCCAACGGAGAGTATATCAGAATCAGCAAGCAAGATCTGATAAGCACATTGTCGTCAGCGGTGACGGCGCAAACCATCGTCCAGCAGTTTTCGAGCAATGGAAGCAGCTGGCATAGCACTTACACTAATGGTGACAGTTATATGAGGGTGAAGACAGGGGCTAACAGCTGGACTCCTTCCATAAAGTTGACCGTTAGTGCCTACGATATTTGGTTGGAACAAGGCAGAAATGGATCTAAAGAGGACTTTCTTGAATCTCTCAAGGGTGCTGCTGGTGATGACGCGGACTTGTCTAATGTTACCATGCAAGACATTAAAGGATACAGTACCTTACTGCAGAATGTAAACGCATCCATTGCCAATGCAAAGAAAGACATCATTGCAGAGGTCGCTAAATCAGCAACAGAATCTGTGATGAATCAATTCAAAGAGCAGCAGTTGTCGGACATTCCGGAAATCAAGAATATCACCGAACAAGACTATATCACTATTGTGACGTCAGACGGATTGAAAAAAGTGAGTCTCGGAAGTTTGGTTGACAATGTGTCAGTAAAGACGGTATCAACATCAAACCTTGAAAAGGCAGTAAACAACCAACTTTCGATGTTTACATTAAGTGGGTTAAAGAATGGAAGCAATGTGAATTACAGTACGAAAGAAGAGTATGTCAATGGTACATCCAACGTATATTACAATGGTCAAAGACTTGTACTCGGCACAGACTATAGGGAGAATGATAGTCGTAGTATCACAATGCTTATACATGCCCCTGAGGCTGATGACAGCATTGTATTCATAGCTGTTAAGAAATAGTATTTAACCAATATTTAAATCGTATCAATGGCAACAAGATTAAGAAAAGAACAGATTAGAATCGAGGATTTTATCCAGGCGTTATCCAATGTCGATTGGTCCAATGACCAGCTCACTGTTTCCGCTGCTGCCATTGAAGAAAAGATAAGATCCTTTAACATCAAATACGGAACAACCGATTTTTGGAATCATAGCAGCTACACGCCCTCACCTGGAGAGATCATCATTTACACGAATTACGAAACAGAGACAGTGGAAGGAGTATCTAAGAGTGTCCCAAATTTGAAAGTGGGAACGGGAAATGCATTTGTTGTTGATTTGCCATTTGTCGGAAGTCACGAAACTCAAATCTTGCTAAATCACATCAGCGATTCAAGCGTTCATTTCTCTGTTGATCAGAAACACGAATGGCTACACAAACACTCTGTTGAGCAATATGATGCTGACAATGAAAAATTAATATTCGAAACAATCAAATTCTAAAACATCATGCCTAATTACATTAGCAAAATAAAACTTCCAAGCGGAAGCGAGTACGAAATCAAAGACGCAGTGGCTCGACAATTAATAGCCAACGGTGTGTCTTTTATAATTGCATGGAATGGTTCCGCGGCTCCCGTGATTGCAAACATTCCTGCCGGTGTTTCCGTCTCTTTCAACGGAACTTCTTACACCGGCACATTAGCTGCTGGAAATGCAACAGCCGGCGCTTTCTACCTGGTGAAATCCTCCACACTTCCGTCCGACGATAACCTGGACGTGTACGATGAATATGTTGTTATCGCAAACGGTAATTCCAAAACCTGGGAGAAAATAGGTGACACCCGTTTGAACCTTGGCAACCTTGGCGATCTCGCTTACAAATCCTCAGTAACCTTAAATAAAGGTGCTGGAGATAACGTTCTCGGAGAAGCAACTACGTTCGCATTGTCCAGTGATGCGGTAACACATGGATCACTTAACGGACACACCCAAAAAGTGCTTGGTTCTGGAGCCACTTTCAACACCGTTGTGACCCCATCTCAAACTATGTTAAAGCCAATTGCGTCTTTAGGAGATGCCAACAAAGTAGAATTCAGTTTAGGCTCTGGAGATCACGCAGAAACTTTGGTCATCACGGCCACCGCAGCAGCTCCTTCTTATGGAAGCGACATTTCTGTTGTGACTGGGATAGCTTCGACCTCTACAACGACAAGCAATGCCGACTCCGTAGATGCTGTAACAAGCATGCCGGCGAGCAAAGTAGGCACAGCCATCACTGTTGGCACAAACGACAAGGTTAAGGTTGCTAAATATAACGATCTTTCCGTTTCTGTTTCATAAACATCTTAACGATGGCGACCATAAACAAGATAAAACTTCCCGACAATACAATCGTGGAACTCTGCGATAGCAGGATTCCCAATTCCGTTGCAATGCAAATCGCAACGACATCGTACGTCAACCAAGCTATCGCAAATGCAGAAGTTGGTGGCGGTGGCGGTACAGGAGGAAGTTTTTCCATCACCGACGACGAATTAGGGAATGTTGGATTGATATTCACTGCAAGCGTAGGGCAGGTCACAGACGACAATAATGGTAATGTTTCTATAATATTCGGATAATGGCAAGTACAGAGATAAAAACACTAACTCTTGGAGGAAACACCTATAATCTTAGCGACGAACAAGCACGAGCGCTCATTGCAGCTTTGCAAACGGCATTGGGCGACAAGGTTGACAAGGTGTCCGGGAAAGGATTGTCAACCAACGACTATACCACCACGGAAAAGAACAAGCTTGCAGGCATTGCCAACAATGCCACAGCCAATACTGGCACCGTTACCGGAGTTAAAATAAACGGCACAACAAAGAACCCGTCCGGCGGTGTGGTTGATCTTGGAACGGTACTCACATCTCACCAGCCGCTGGACGGCAAGCAAGACCTTCTCGTCAGCGGATCGAACATAAAGACCGTCAACGGACAATCGCTCCTGGGCAGCGGTAACATCCAGGTGGCTGGAGGTGGAGGATCCACCTCCGGTGGCATAACCGTAGAAGAGGCAAACACAATCTACTGCGAAAACAGAACGCTATCTGGAACTCAAGGATACACCTTTTCTCCTTCCGGCACGGCTGGGCGATCCTACTATTACGGAGCAGTTAACAACGGCACGCAAAGCCTGCTGCTTTCCTTCAATCCAGCCTATCCTACCGAGCTGTACCTGCTTATTGACAACACAGAAAACAGCAACGATGTTGCCGTGGCCATAGGAGGTGCTTCTCTCGCCAACAATCCAATCAATTACATAATAACACCTGACGGGGGT